AAGGTAAGTCGACCTGGAAGCCTGGGTAATTTTTGAAAAAAAAAGCTCTGGTTTTGATCTTCCTATCGCACGCGATTGTTTAGTCGCTATATCAAAGCGGCTTTACTAACGTATACAGTTGTCTATTATTTACCAAATGCTGGCAGCTTCTACCTAACCTGAAGTCACACAATGCACAGTGAGGATCTCACTAGCATTATGCAAGAAAGGGAAAAATGCAACGTGAAAACAAAATAATATTGTTGCAAAGCAGACTAGACTATATAGCCCTGGTTTTTATCTGGTCTAGGAGTAAAGTTCAGGAGGCAAGAAGACAAAGAACAACACTACTGGTCCATTAGATTCTGCAGGATGCATTTTTGAAAAAAAAAAAAAAAACACATTCTAAACCATGGAGAGAAGTGACATTTACACTACATGTTCTCTACAATAGACATTAGAAATGATATAACCAGAAAGCAGTGTGATGCCCTAAATATCGGTGCTCATAACAGATAAGAGATCCAATATGCCCATGATACAGTAGTGTGTGTGCATGTGCGTGAGTGTGCTAGAAAGATGTTACATGGTTGACATCATGGTTTAGAAGGCTCAACAGCAAAATACCGACAGTGAAAAGTACTATGCAGACAATGCTAGCAGGAGGTTAGGTTGTATTCTACTAATAGACATACACTGCTAGCAGGATGTTATGTTGTATTCTACTAATAGATATATACTGCTAGCAGGACATTGTGTTGTATTATCCTAATAGACACACTGCTAGCAGGACGTTATGTTGTATTCTACTAGTAGACATATACTGTTAGCAGGACGTAGTGTTGTATTGTACTAGTAGGCATACACTGCTTGCAGGACGTTATGTTGTATTTTATTAGACATATACAGCTAGCAGGACGTTATGGTGTATTCTACAAGTAGACATACACTCTAGCACTCGTAGAATAAAACTGCTAACAGGACGCTATGGCGTGTTATACTAGTAGACGTACACTGCAAAGCAGTTACACACTTCTGATGTAGTCCAAATGTTTGAAAGCGATTTCCTTGAAACATTCATTTAGTTCACAGTCAGCTTTCGCGTATGTAGAATAAAGAAGACGGACAGTCCAGTATAATATGTATATATATATATATATATATATATAATATATATATATATATATATATATATATATATATATATATATATATATATATGTGTGTGTGTGTGTGTGTGTGTGTGTGTATATATTAAAAGTAATCTTAAAACTAGTTTTCGAGTGACGTGTGTTCCCCATCTAGCTCATAAGTTGGGAGTCGCGGTGACAGTGTCTAGCTACTTACTAGTCGGCCCTAAGATCGTGTTTTCGAATCAGCATAGAGTCAGATTTTTATAAATGACTTTTTCCTCCATGTTGACCAGTCTAAAATGTGTTCCAGAAAATGTCTCTAGAAGTAAAGTAGACATGATGTGTCTGGTAATAACTGCAAAAGAGTATAAAGGAAAATGGGTTAGCGCCATATGACCAGTTGGCTCCTAGGTCGACCCAACTAAAGATTGCACCAGGTAAAGTCCATGGTAGTAAAGGCGGTTTAGGGGAATAAAAACAAAACATTTAAAAAAAAATTAGCAGTTATGGAAATGAGGTGTTTAATAAAGACCATAGAAGAGACCAAAAGAGATAAAATCAGCAATGAGGTCATACGAAATAATTTCAACATAGAACCAATTCTAAATTAATACAAAGACAGTAAACCAAATGGTTTGCCCACTTGGAGAGAATGTCTTCTGATGCTATAGCATACAAGGCATATACCAAAAGGGGAGAAGGATGTAAAGCACGAGGTAGACCAAGAACAATATGAGAAAATAACATAAGCGAAACTCTACATCACAACGATGTGTCCATTGTTGAAGCAGCCAGAGGAGCACGAAGCAGGACTTTACATCTCCCTCGACACCCGAAGCGTACAAGAGAACGTGAAGAAGAAGAGAAAAAGAATTGCCTCTTTTTTTACTATATGCCAAGTAGAGTAAAACGTTTCCTTTTTGTTTGTATTAAGTGATTTTATTAAATACAGCTAACAAATTGCCTGCTTTTTAAAATTGATTTCTAGGTAAAGACATTGATCACCCCACGACGAGTAACCGTAATCTTAGTGTGTGTATTCGCCATTCTTATAGTAAGTGTGGCTCCTGTATACACGGTCAGCAAACTGGAGAAAAAGTACTTTTCTGCACGAAACACTTCTCTCATCGGTCTTACATTCTCCAGTAATCGAGACATTGTTCAAAAGATATCATTTGCAATCAACAATGTCTTCGTATCTGCTACTTCTTTTGTGGTCATTGCAGTCTGTACAACAATACTTGTTGTCAAACTACGGAACACAACCAAGTGGAGAAAGATATCTACAGCTACTACACTCACCGACAATGTTACTATAAGAAACCAGAAAGCAGCAAAGATGGTTGTAATGATTTCAACACTTTTCATTGTTTGTTTTATACCTTTTACATTCATATTCATAGCCATGACTTTTGAGACACGAATTTCAGTTGATGGTCAGTATAAAAATACAGCCGTGTTTTTGGGTGGCCTCGTCTTTGTGTTGGAGTCTGTTAACTCTTCTATGAACATTTTTATTTATTATCACATGAGTAGCAAGTATCGAGCTACCTTCCATGCGATTTTTTCCTTTAACAAAGTGTTTAAGTTAAA